TCAAGAAGAATGTCTAGTGCAGCACTAGAACAAGTGTTTACCAAGGATGATGTACCTTTCCTTTGCATGGAAGTTTTGAAAATTCTGCTAGATAAACCTGCAGCTGATCTGATCTAGGGCCAATTATTCATGGAATAATTTAGTTTGGAGGGGACCTCCAAGGTTCATGTAGTCCAAACTCTTGCTCAAAGCAGATCCAACAAGACCAGGCTGTTGAGGGTCTTGTTAAGTTTTGAATGTGTTCAAGGATGGGGAACCCAACCTCTCTCAGCAATGTGTGCCAGTATTTTACCACCCTGACAGTGAAAGATTTTTCTGTAAACAGTTTCCCATGTTTCTACTTGTCTGTTGACTCTTATACTGTCACTGTGCATTTCTGAGCGACATCTAACTTCAGCTTCTCTGTACCTCTCTTTATACCTTAGAGAGTTGTCGATAGCAATAGTATGTCCCCTTAGTATTGTTTTCTTGAGGCTGAACAAACCCAGTCCTTTTAGCTGTTCTCCTCTTATGTCTTGCGGCAGTCCCCTGACCATCTTGTCAGCCTTCCCCTGAACATACTCCAGGATCTCAGTGTCTGTCCTGTAGTGGGGACCCCCAAGCGGGGTGCAGTACTCTTAAGTGAAGTCTCGTAGGTACAGAATAGAGGGTAAGAATCTCCTCCTCCTACCTGATGGCTACAGGTTTGGTCATACAGCCCAGAGTATGGTTGGCCTTGGTTGCCACAAGGGCACATTGCTGATTTGTACACAATTTATGTTGGATTATGGTAGTCCCAACTTTCTGAGAGAAGTAGCTTGAATAAGCTCTTCCTAAAACTTGGCAATCTCTGTCCTCTGTAGAGAGGCGTTGTCTAAGAGTAAATTTTAGAGGCACTCTTTATGCTGCATCTTCTTGGGGTGACACTGTCAGGCCTTCGGGGATAAATGCTGTACCATGAGTGCTTAGGTAGCACGAGTATTGTTCTGTGTTTCTGTTGTGCTTTTGTTTCTTAGCCAGTGCCACTACTTTGCAATTCCTTGCTCTTGCGAATGCCAGAGAACCCAAAGGCTGTGGAAGAAATTACTTCCTCCTGGAACAAGCCTGTCCAATACTGCCTTTTTCATATCTGATGTGGAAAATTGTCTCACTCAATGTGAATAGGGGGAAGTTCGTCGAGGATTTTATAGATCACCTGATAAAAAGTTATACTGCTCTATGAAGAAATGGAATCTCTGTGGCTTGATGATAGTACATCCTTGTATATAAAATTTTTCTCTTATTTTGTTAAGCTGTTTCTGTATCAAAAAGTTAACAGCAGAAGAAGGCGTTATTAGGTGATTTAGTTCATATTCTGCCAGACGAGCAATGTTCACTGCTGTGCTGTTGTTCTGAGCAGGTTAGTTTTGAATGAATAGCAGGTCATGTTTAGATCATGGTCTGGATATTTTAAAGCTACTTGAGTCTTTATCCCCCACTGATTTTTTTTTTTAGGAATTAGATGTCTGTACTTCTATAAAACTCTGGCATGAAGAAAATCACTTTATATACTAACTTTGTATTCGGATACATTGCAGTTTATTTAACCTAGCTCATCTAGTCAAGAAGTAATGCAAAAGTGAAAAAAGCCCAAGTTATCATCACTTTAATTATTTGAACCAGGGGACATTTTGGTGTATCAGTCCTTGACTTGAAAAACTTCAGCTGTACTATGACCACATGAAATACCTATGGAAGGAAATAAGGGGTATCTCCTTACTCCACAAATGAACTGACTGTAGCACAGAAGGGAAAAATAATCTTCAAGAAGTTACAGTTTGACTGCCTGTATGGTGAGATGGGTATGGGCATGACCTTAACTGCAGTCTTTCACCAGCACGAGATGCAGCACAGCTGGGTTGTATTCCTGTTACTGGTGCTCGTGGGACAACCTGACTGTGTTTCCTTTTCGTCAACTCTTATAAAATGATCTTAGAGACCCTCCTTCAGTCTTTTGTGTGTGTGTGCTTTTGGGAATCGGAATATGACAGGATTCACATTTGTCAGGGACATTGTGGCAGATCAGAAGGGTGCAGCTAAGGTCAAAGGAAATTATCAAATGTGTAAATTCGGTTAGGGCAATTCGGGTGCCACCTGATTGTAAGGGAGAGAAGGTCATCGGTAGTGCTCGACCCTTGCCTTAGTTGGGGTTCTATCAGTTTGATTCAAAGACATTGGCAGGACAGGGAATGAAACTGTGGAGCAGGAACAGAAATAGAAAGAATATTTAAAAGCAGAGAGAGCAGCAAAGGTCAGCTTGACTCTGCACCTAAATTTGGCAGCTGGGTGCAGAGCTCAGTCTGTCAGACATCTGAAGAACTCATTTGTTTTTGGAGTTACCTGAGCTTTTGATTGGCAGTGTTACCTAACGCGTTCCTTTGCTGTTCTGTGTTCACTTTCAATGCACACCGTGCTATTTTTGCACTTTCAACACAGATGCTGTGTTCTGGGGCTTTAAAATAAGAGTCTAATGAAAACTTTAAGTAAAAAACAAAAAAATGTGATTAGCAGGACAAAAAAGGCATTACATGGTATTTCTAACTTGTCTTTAGTTGAGAATTCACTATGAAAATTTCCAAAGTCTGAAATGTATCTGGTGGGTCATAGATGGTAAAGATTTTTATCAATGTTTATACATTTCTTTTAAAGGTCAAGAAATGTCATAAGAAGATACGGAAAGCACTTCATGTAAATTGTTCCTGGAACATATCAAAGTGGCTTTTATCTCTTGGCTTTGATATTTTTTAATTATTTTGTTTTTTAAGAGCTGTAAGCAGCAGAGCCACCTTTTCTGCACTTAAGAACAACAGGAATGTGGGGAGAGGGAGAAACTGGGGGAATGAAAAAGATCTTGGTGACACACAGCAGTTTAATCTTATGTGGAATGCGTACACTTTTATGCTAAAGGAATTCTGTTCGTCTTTGGCTAGAGACTTCGAGATGACACCAACCAGTTGATTAGCTTGAATGACCAAACTTTGTTTTGGTGCCTCTGAGATTCATGGTAATACTGGACAATTGAAAACATTGGTGGTGTTTGAAACATTCATACTTGGGATAAAATCTGTGAGGCTGACACGTTCATATGTGAGTTAGAGAGGAGGGGAAAAACAGAGAGAGCAGGAACAGATGAATTTGTTAGGTGAAGTTAGTGGATTATTCCCTCCCCACCCCCCCGGCTTTTCTTCTCTCTGACCCAAAGTTAATAGAAAATCCTGTCTGTGTTTAGGCTTTTTCTTGTGAATGGGTGTTCATTTATTTACTTTTAATATCAGAGCCTTCTATGTAGTAAAATGCGACAGATGACAAAGAATTTCCATGTGAGGAAGCTTGCAGTGCAGAGCCTCCATCAGTGACCTGATGCTATCCGGATGGCCAGCCCCTGTCTGCACCAGTTAACGTGCTGGCCCACAGTCACAGATCTGGTCATGTCTCCCCAGTCTGGACCAGGGCCGGACTGTTTAAATCCACTCAGCATTTGAACTCCCTGCTTCTCTGGCTGTCGTGTGCTGCAGTGTGCCTGTTCTTACCCTCTACCATGGCCTCTTCCCCTGGGTGCTAGAATTACCTTTTCCTCCCTTGGTTTATGAAGTCTGAGCAATCCAAACTGGCGCTTTCCCTTGACTCCAGCGGTGGAGGCTACGTAGGCAACCACTTAGGGCATGTGCTAATCAGGAGTAAAGAGAAGCAGATTTTCCTTAAAGTTCTCAGTATCTTGGCTGGTAGCAGAAGTATGTGCACAGGTTTAGGCACAAATAATTAAATCCCATGTATATTTTTTTTTGTTGGCATGACTCGTTGCCTCGATGGCCCTTCTGGTATTTAACAGTGTTCGTGCATCCATTTATTTCTGTGATTCTCCCAGGCGTATCGCCTGTCTTAGGCTGCCTGTTTCCTGAGAGTCTGGTCAGCATCCAGCCAGCAGAGACAACACCTGCTTGGGCAGTTTTGCCATGATACCAGTGTCCTTTCAGCAGCACTCTGAGTGAAGATCATTTAAAAACTCATCATCTGTCTCTGAAATGAAATTGAGAATAAATTCTACAGGTCTTCAACTTCTCTTTTCACTGCAGAAAGTCTGACTCAAAAGGGTTGTGTAGGTATTTGGGGTGTGGTAGGCAAATTAACTTGGAGCCTTGAGTTTGAAATTTCAGGGTTTTTATGTGAAGAAAAAATGATCACTTACCTTGCAGCCAAACCAGAGCATTCAGCAGCACCTGGGGAATCTCAAGTGTAGAAAGTGAACTACAAATTGGCTTCTAGACTATGGTTTTGTTTGTAGACCTAGGACACCAGAGAGGAAGGCAAGGAGGGAAGGATATGGGCTTATGGAAACTGGTCATTAAGGTTATTGGATCTTGAAATGTAGGAGGGAATATCTATGCTTGTTACAAAATCGGGCATTAGAAAAGTGTGGTCCCAGAATACTGCTCTCATCTTGGAAGCATGTGCAGGTATAACAAATGGGTTCTTCACATTGTTGTCTGGAATTTCCTATAAAAGAGAAAGAGCAGGAGAGGAGCGGATGAGGTTTCCTCCTCCATCCTTATCCCAGAAGACAGACTTCTGTCTGTCTGTGCTGGTACTTCTGCTGATAAAGGGTGATACAGAGTTTGTAAGAGGTCTTGAGTGCCTGCCTTTGGAAAGCTGGTGTGTAGTTGTAACTTCATTTAATAAATAAAAGCAGAGTTTCAATAACTGGGTGTGATCACGCAGTGTTCACAGAAAGTGATATAACTCTCATATTTACAGATATGCAATTGTTTTCTGTTCTCTAATTTGAAAAAATATTTTCAAGAGATAGCTTCTATCTCCAGAAGAATACTGCAGCAGTCCGCTGCTTGCTTCCCTTACCATTTGCAGTGATACGGTATACAAATTATAACTTTGTAATTGTGATTCCTGCTTTGAATACTCTGAAAAATTGTCACCTAATTAAATAATAGTGGCAGTTGTTTATTTTTTTAAATACATATTTGCAGCTGAGAGTTACAAGGAAACCCAGATGGTAAAGATAAAAGAAGAACCAATGGAAGTTGACATTCATGGTCTGCAGGCTTCAGTGTCACCCAGCCAACCCAGCCAAAATGTTGGCTACAGCACTTTATTAGGACGAGACGTTAGTGAACACATACAGAAGGCACCAGAAGGTCGTGTGATCCCAGAAAGAAATCTGTTCAGCCAAGATATATCAGTGAAGATGGCATCCGAGCTGCTCTTCCAGTTATCAGGTAAAAGCAGTAGAAATAGTTGACAGTAGAATTTAAAGAACAATAAGAGCCTGTGTGTAACTGTTAAGGTGCTATGAAAGCGTGACATTGCTAAGGCTAAAAAATAAAATGAGTTAGTGCCCTTCCGCCCTCACATTTGAAATGCAGAAGCCTTGCCAAATGCACCCCATAGTTAGCATAGGCTTTAGGGCACTGTGACAGTCGGGTCAGGTTCACAATATTTGAACTGTATTGGAAAAGCCAGAGTTCAACGCCTGTATTTTTGAAAGCTAATTAAATGATTTGTGACAACTGGTTGATCCAGGACTTGGAGTAGAGGGGAACCTATAGGTGACAGTTACTGGCATAAGTGTCCAGTGGCTGCAGCATGCAGTGCTTTTGGGGCTGCACTGTCTGTTTTTCTTGACGAAGAAAGTGAACCTCAGCTATTACATAAAGGCAGTGATTTCAGCACTGTGTTTAATGAATGCTTGTATTGCACACTCTGCACGGAGCACTAAGGCTGGAATATGAAGCTGAAAAAAATTGTTGGGAGTTAGTTTAAATAAAGTCATGCTCATTTTCTAATTATGCGGTAACCATTTACCCTAAATTATTCTGGATTATGCTGTTATTAGAAAACATTAAAATGTTTCTACTGAATAAAACCTGAGAGGGAAAATAAGATATATGCTAATCTCAAATATATATGTTTCTCTGCAGAAAAGGTGAGCAAAGAGCACAACCACAACAAAGATAACGCCATCAGAACTACAGCCAGGTAAGTACAGTCCATTATCTGCAAAGCTGTAGTGTAAATGTAGATGTGTCTGTCTCTTGCAGATGTGACCCGATATTACAAGTGTAAGGTATTTTCATGAGTAATGTAACCTACATCTGAAAATTACACCTATAGATCTGATTGCTTAGAGTCCATGAGACAAAAGGCCTTTGGGCCAAAATGACTGTTCTCCTCTGACCAAGTATTCACACATCATTTTAGGAATTTTTTTCTATTTTTTTTCTACAAAAACTGAAACTTAAAGGAAGCTGCATAGTACATGTAGTGCTTGGGGGAAGAACAGGCTGACAGCTGGATTTTAAAACATGGACCAATGTAAGAAGAGGCGATCTTGATTCAGTCTTCTGACAAACTTGGATTTCTTGACTAGAATTTCAGTTTAGTATTCTATCATCTCAACGTCTTCTACAAATATATTTTTAAAAGTGAGACTGTAAAAGAATGCTAATTAAGTATTTGTTAAAGATTACAGTCCCACTAATACAATAAATGAAATTACCCAGGAATGAAAAACATGATTCGATTACAGCATGTGCTGTTAAAGAAATAAGCACTTTACAGTATTGTGGCCGGGAACAAGCCCACGAGTTGTTTAAATATAATGAGCAGTAGATGTGTCCTTATGGGGAAAATTCAAAGCTCTTAGCTAATATGTGGTGGCTAGAATTGGAAAAAACTTAGGAGCCCACGGTGAGGAGTAGGCAGGAATTAGCTTCCAAGTCCAAAACTGAAATCTTTGACACTTGCTTCAGCTCTCACCTAGCCTTGGAGGCAAGGATACATTTATTTCTGACCTGAAAGTTCCCTAATCAGCGTGGAGGGGTTGGAGACAGAGCACACTGAAGTGACAGAGAGTTCAAAGGCAGAGTAAGACCTTCTGTGCCTCTGCAGCCCCTTCTACAGAAGTTCCCCCTGTGTTCATGCCTGCTAACTGAGACAACTTTGTCCAGACAGAAACTGAAAAAGCATTTTGGTTACACAAGAAAAGATCTCTAAAATACATTGTTCTTAAATTCCTAGGCCTATCCCATTCATTCATGGTAACTCTAATAAATAATTTGGTTTTAATGAACTGGCCAGCTCAGTAAATGTCCATTAGGGACTTCTTGATCTTACCAGTTGAAACATAATTAAATTGAGCATTTCACTTCTGGCTACTGTGAATGCTTTCCATATTTGCTAGTTTGGGAATCTGTGGGATATGAAGCCTGCATAGCTTTCCTGTGACTCCTTAAAAACTGTAAGCCTGAGAGATACCCATAGAGATAAATGCACATATTGTCCAGCTAGTCATTTACTATCCAGTGTGCATTGCAGGGAGGGGGTGACAAATAGTCGGTTGAAAATAGATTTTGGTGTCTCATGATGTTACCGGCTGTGTGAGAATCCAGAGCTACTTTTGGATCTATAACTCAATCTGGAAAGGTTGAGGACAGTTCAAAGATAACTTCCTTTCTTCTGGCTGCCAGCTTGTAAGAGGGTAGCACAGTTGGCCATTGTCAAACTTGCACGGAGTTTTACTGAGAAGTCCTGGTAATGGCTGATACCCATCAGGGTGTGAAATGCTGAGTGCCTGATTCAATTCTTCTGGGTGCTTTCTTGTCTTACCTATCAACAGAAGAAGACACGAATTAGAAGAGCTTCTTAAGGGGAAGTGAGTCAGTCTACTAAATCCTGCGAGTTCAAACAGATTGACTTGAAAGACCTTGCCAAAAAACCCCACCCAAAACCAACAGCTGGAAATCTTTACTGGTTAGGGTATGACGCCTTCTCCAAAATAGAATGTGATGGAGCAGCCAGTGGAGGATAGAGGCACTCGGGCTGCATTAAGAAAATGTGTGATGTTGCAGTTTGGCTCACCAGCCTACATCTGGAGTAACGACAGGAAGGCATTTGAATCACAACGGTTATGTGAAGTTTGCTGACAGCTGCAGAGAGCCGAGGTGAGGTCAGTTCTGTCCACCTCCGAGTAGCTGGGGAGCAGAGAGGTTAAGCTGTGCGACTCTTAAACCAGCAAAGCCCAGCAAGATGGGATACACAAGTGCTTCTTGCTGTCTGATTCCATATTGACATTTCTAACTGCCGCCTATCTGTTGCTGTTCCTCCTGTGATTATTCCTGGACTTTGCAAGCATGCACTTCCATATGACTTTGTTTAAGCAGCCGAAACTGGCAAGGATTCCTCACAGTTCAGTGGCTGAGATGGTAGAGCCTGCCATCTGTGATATGAAGACAGAAAGTGGAGAAGCAAATGATGTGGAAGTGAGTACGCCAGCATGAGATGCCAAGATAAGTTTCTTTCATCTAGACAACTGTGTAGCCATAAAACTGGAAAAGTGCAGCCAGAAGAAAAAAATCCTGAAGCTTAATCTTCATCAGAACAGACCTTGCGCAGTGATTGAGAACAATTTATGTGGTTTCTTCCTATGAGGCAGGTGCTCCTCCCTCCATACTTTGCACTGAGAATTCTTCTGAAATAACGATAATAATCTCTCACTGAAGAGACTCAGCTGCCGTTCTAGAGGAAGGCCGAAAAGAGGTATCCAAGGTTGGTCTTGTAATTCACTGGGGGCCAATGATAGACAGGGAAATCCTTGAGACATAACATGATGCAATCTTCAACAGCAACTTATGCTCATGATATGTGGCCTAGCCTGACGTAGATGGGCTCGGCATCATCCGTTTTGAGTAGAACCAGCAATGAGCAGTGTCTCAGTGACTGAATCTCAGGCACAAGCAGGCAGGCCAACACGGGAACCTGAGCGGATTACAAGATTTTGAAGAGTTACAACAGTAATAAACCTTTTTTTATTGGTGTTTTTCTTTCAAATCATTATTAAACCAGTGAAAGGAGTGTTGCAATAAATGATGCAGTATTTTTACACAGCGTCAGTCTGGTTTATATTATGTCACCCCTGAGTTGCAGTGTGAGTCTTGGATGAAGTGAAGTTTTGCACATGTGGGCTGGAGCTGTTTTGTTTTATCATGATGTCTTGGTGTCAGGACCACCAC